ACAAAAAAAAAAAAAACTATGTTAGGAGAATAATATTCGATATTTATATAGATAAAATAATTAGGAGTGTTCATTGGTCGATCAACATTGGACGTTGACAATCGACATGTCGATTTTTTGTCGGTCGAAGCTCGTTGGTTTTGGACACCTTAGCAACAATGATCGAATAGTTATACAATTGGTCTATTGATTTTGGCTAAAACCCACAAAATGTTAAGTTGAGAGCACGTGAGACATGATAAGTGCCAAGGTTGCTCGGGTTTACAAAGCTAGAGGTCCTAGGATCTTTGCAAACTTTCACAAAAATAGCTCGAATGATTCCAACTAAGAGTAAGGTTAGGAGATGAATCACTCTAGATCAAACCTAGAATCTATGATGGTCACTCTTAGATCCTAAGACGACTCACCCTAGAATTAACTTGTTTGAGGCTAATCCAATGAATCGGTTTAACATCAAACATAAAGCAAGATTTGAAAGAGACAACACCAAAAATGTTAAAAGGAACAAAATTTCTTGAATTTAAATATGTTAAATCTTAATAATCTCCATACAAGAGCATTACAAGCCTTTAAATAGGTCAAGGGGGTCGTTCAACAAAGGAATACCAAAAGCTTTCAAAATCCTACTTAATGCCAATTGCATAAAATAAGACATGCAAATTAAAACTTGATTGCACATCAATTTAGACGATTAAATGCAGATCAGAAAACTTATAATGGTTTTAAATTGTCTTGGAGATCTAATGTAGGAGGCGTTCCTTGTGATGACAACGTTTGACAAGCTTTGATTTCACAAACTTCCAAGAGGTGCAATCTGCCAAGGCAGTGTTCACAATTCTGCACAATTTTTTGTCCTCTATGCCATCTTTCAAAATAGACAACTTTTCATGTGGCATCTTTGCTCCATTCTTTACTTGACTTGTTGAAGTAACATTATAAATAAATTTGAGCTCAAAACTGTTTGTTGGTTCTTGTGCGTTAACAAGCTTTTGAAGGTGCACTGTGAAAGTCTCTTTAATCTTCTTGCCTTGTTTCTTGTAATTGCTCCTTTGACATGTAATTGGTCACAAATGGATTCGTATCAAGACAAAGATGAAAAAGAAAAATGGAAGAAAAAAGCTTCTTGAGACCAAAATAAAAAGAAAGTTACCTTGAACCTGTCTCCTTTAAATGAATTAATAGAATAAGAAAAGAAAAAAAGAAGATGAAGAGACAAAGAATAAAAATAAAGAAGAAGATGAAGAGAAAAGATAGGGTTAGAAGTTAGGGAAAAAGAAAATACAACAAAAAAGAGAAAAGTGAAGAAAAAGATAGAGAAATAACAAATGAAAAAAAATTAATTAAGTGGTATGCCGGTTGAGACAGTTCTGTTGCTGCCAAGTCCCTTTAAGCAATTTGTTATATATTAATTTTTTTTAACAATTTAAGTAATTTCGATTGGTTCGTTTGGAAACTATTTTTTCGACCAAACTGATGAATCGAACAATCAGTTTTTAATTTGAAAAATCGAATTTTACTGAATATGTCATTAACCCATCGATCAACGTTGGTTCGGTTAGTTTTGGTCGGTCGAGTTGGTTTTTAGATAGCTTTTGTACATCATTAAAAATAATGATTAATGTCTAAAATTTACAGTATCTCTATTTAATTCGTTCTATAAGGGGGCATCGTTGATGACGAGGTGGCTGCCGACGACGAGCTTTTTGTGCTTTTGGTGTCTCTTGATCTTTAGTAGGGTTGAGGTACTATCCACGCTTCCCACGTCCACGTCCATGATCAGCCTCATAATCATACTGCGATAACAAAAATGGTATGTGAAATTGACTTGAGCCAGGAGTCGATACCATGACCATCGATGTGGACGGGTCGACAATATGATATATCACTTTAGGTACGGGAACAACATGCTTGGTTGGAACATCCTACGCTACTTGACGTGGACATGTACTATGTCTTGGTCGAGATAAGGTGTATAAGGTATTTTATACATCTCATCAAGTATTTGAAGATATCTTGCACCAACGGTACACAACCTATCAATATCTTATGAAGGAGATCTGATACCAATTCGTTCGAAATACGCATCTTACATAGAAAAAAATACAAATAAATATTTAAATTAAAATAGTTTATAAAACCACATTAAAAATTATACCGTAGCACCAAATTTTGTTCCCTCTTGAGTGATGTATTGTCTAGTAATCGGTAAATACCAACTCATGTATTTGGAACTGTAATCGTCATCATCGCTCACAAGAGAATTGATAGTAATATAATCTCTATGCATGCGCCACCTCACCATATAAGGTGCAATCTGGTCCTACCATGTGCGATATTGAAGGTTTATGTCATGTAAGCTCGGTTCTAAACTAGGCACTTATGGAACAAGTTGTTTATTCCAAACTGTCTTGTAACTGATCCGGTTGATGCCACTCAACTACACAAAAATAGATGAATCGACTTACTGTGCACCATATCTCATGTCCATTACTACAGTTATCAAGAAGAGATGCAAAATCATTATTGTATGATTCCTAGATTATACGAAATGTTAATGTAAAAATGTGTAATTAAACGTCAATCAACTTTTATTTTTAATTTTAAACATTTAGACATGTATCAAACCTGGTGTTGGAAGATCCAATATGTATCTATAAATATATCTATACTAGACCAATACATGTATAGATACTTTTGTGACACAAAATAATCTCTCCACCTACAATAATACTCTAAGTTAACAACATTTTATGTTGATTATAATAAAATTAACATTGTAACACAATTAAATAGTTAGATCGACATACCGTGCAACTAATATTCATCCGATCACCAGTTTTTGATATGCAATATGACAACGTTGTGGAGCCATAATTGGGAATTCATTCTAAGCCTATACTTGAAGAAGTATGATGTCACACGAATTAGTCTGACGTGCCTTATACAAATGCATCCATGCTAAGCATGCTTTAGTCCAATTGAATCATCAACAATCTTAAAATCTGTCCCCAATGGAAGGAACATTAAGTGCATCTAATTGTAGACTTATCAGCAAGTAAGTTACCACCAATTATAAGTTGCAAAACGTAGACATTAGCATATCTGGCCATGGTTTCCTCATCATCGTCGTTATCTAAGTTATATAATTGAAAAGATAACCTAGGTAAACTCAGTCTTGAGTCTCTAATGTGTGTATCATCTTAAGTCATGCCAAGTTACAATTTACAAGTGCCTTCCTAGTCATAATCTATGGGTCTAGTAACGGGCTCACCATCTATTGGTAACCCAATCTGCACTGCTACATCTTGGAGAGTGATAGTGCATTATCCGTCATGCATGTGGAAGGTATGAATTTTTTGCCTCTATCGCTCCACAAGCGCAGTAATCAGGTGCCAATATAATTGGATGAACCTTAGACTAACAAATCCAGAAAACTCATAAGCATGAATTACTGACTCAATCAACAGATGCACCGAGATGGTGCGATCAACTACTGCCTCTCTACATTGGCAGTCTAACTCCTCATTCAACTGGTTTTACCAAAGTAGTTCTGATCGATGTTGAGTTTAAGACTACAACAATGATCGATCAGTAGAACTTGAATTTAGTTCCATGATCCAATACTATAAAATATGTCATTCATTGGAAATTTAAATCAAATCATTATTTGAATAAACAAGATTCATCATATATTTGAAAGTATCAAATTACAACAATAACTATAAAATTTCAATAACATAAAATTATAACTAAGGAACAAATGACACCAGTAAAAAAATAACATAAAATATCCTAACTAAATATTAAATTACACATATAAGTAACCATGATGACACTTTCCTCTGTCTCGAATGATAATTTCTTCAATTACGACTAAGTTGATTACATAATCCGCATCTTTGTTTGACACTTGGTTCTCTCCAATCAATCTGATTATGAATACAAGTACTTCTCGATCTACTAGATTATC